TTTTAAACAATCCAGAAAACAAATCTCTCTGTATTTTTTTTTAAAGGAAATAAAGTCGTAGTTTGGAAAAGTGGCCCAGTGGCACTTCTTCTATTTAACTGCACCTGTAGATTAACAAAATAAAACAAGAAATAAAGCAACAAGAATCGGAGAAATATTGTTTTAGTCAAAATAATTAATCCAGTATGCTGGAAATGGTACCTATAACTAAAGGCAACATATGAAATATTTGTTTTACTAGCCTAAATTGATTTAATAATCATAAATGTCTAGATAGTACTATGCAGTCCAAAGTAATTGTTTTCCCGTAACTTTGAGACTCAATCTATAAATGTGTACATAAGGGGGTTGAAAGAGCTCTAGTTAACAGGGGAACTGCTAGGAAATAATAAAGGAAACAATTGTCTTGAGATGGAGGATGCATTCTAATGCCAGAACAAGAGCTTAGGCATTGATAGTTGTCCTGAAGTGCAGAGTGATTGATCATGAGGTTGTCCACCAAAATCATAATTATTTAATGAAGCCTCTATTTGTGAGTGGTGCAAGTAGTTTATCTGATCAAACCAGTCATTTTCAGCAGATAGACTTGCAGAGTAAATAAGGAACACCCCAATGCCATATATGCAATGTGAAAGTGGGATCTTATGTATCTGTATCGATCTACTAGATAACTATAGCATTGTCTGAAAGAATTTGGACAATGCGATATCAGTGGAAACCTTCCAAGACTCTGGATTTTTCCAACTATTCTAATAGTTGTAATTCTTGATATGCTGCAATAAATCAAATCCTTAGATATGAGGATGTGGAGAGATCAAAAGTGTACTCCTCATATGGCAATGAGGACCTGCCTTGGGGAAAGCACACAGCTACATCATCAGTGAGAATTACCGTATTTTTCAGAGTATACGACGCACCAAGATTTTGAACAGGTAAATTAAAAAAAAAGTTTTTGCACTCTGCAGGCTTCCCAAACCCTCTGCATCCCTCAGTTTTTTGCAAAAACGGACCCATTTTTTTTTGGGGGGGGGGGGGGAAACAGGACATGCATAGAGTACTCCTGGGGGCTGGGGTGGCAAAAATAAGCAAAAAAATG